GCGTGAACGTCTGGCGAATGCCGTGCTCGGCACAGTAGGCTGCCAAGAGGTCGGAGGAGAACTCGCCACCTCTGTCAGAGTGCAAGCGCAGGACAGGAAACTCCGAGCGAAAACGCTCTCGCAGCTGAAGACGTGCTCTGCTGATCCAAGGGATCAGGACATCAGGGACTTCACCCTTGGTGCGCAAGGGGAAGACCGTGGTGTAGCGCGAGTAGTCGTCAACCACGATCAAGAAGTACCTCTCCTAGCCCTGACCACGAACGCGGGCTGGGCCCCACACGTCCATGTGGAGCGTCTGCAAAGGAGCTGTCGTCGGGGGGAACGAGGAGGAGTGAGGGGCAGCGCGCTGCCGCCCCTCGACACAGGGAAGACAAGCAGGAGCAAGGGAGGGTGGGAGGGGAGGGAGTACCCGCGGAAGACCAGAGACAAGGTACCGGGAGTGCATGCCCCGAAGGCGCTGCACTGACGGGTGACCAAGTCGGTGGTGCCAGAGGACAGTCTTGTGCGCTAGAGAGCGACACGAGCAGGGGGCAGACAGCTGACCTGACGCAGACGCAGACGCAGACGCCGCTACCTGAGGAGAGTCAGTGGTCAGTGTGTACAGGTCCGACCCCGGCTGCCGAGTGAAGGTAGCCAGGTGACGGCCCGTCCGAGCACACGTGCAGTGTGTCACACGCTCGTAGGCAGGGGTGAACTGGTGAACACCCCCATCCTGAAGCGCACAACCCGCCACCAAGTTCGTAGAGAACGAGGGGAGGTGGAGACCTGACAGTGTGCCCGACGGGACAGCAGGACAAGGAAGGACAGTGGAGGAGGTCGCAATGACCGGACCCCCAGAGGGGTCAGCGAGCGAGACAGCGACTGGTCGAGCAAGGGGCTCAAGAGCAGTGCGGTCACGAAAGAAACAGCGCAAAGCGCCTGAGTCTAGAGTGAAGGTGTGCAGTGCCTCAGTGGACTCAGTAGTACCTGGGGTGGCGGACACACAAGCACCTAGAGCAGTAGCCTCACCAGCACCTGGGGCAGCAGACACGGAAGCACCTAGGGCGGCAGCCTCACTCGTGTGGATGCCTGGGTCAGGCGGAACACACAGGTACTGGTCCTCCTCTCCACTAATAGTCAATGCATACATGGCTTTGAGAATAACATCAAAATCAAGAGCATAGATATCGATATCCTTCTTGAGGAGATCAGCCCACTGAGGGAGCTCAGGAGCGTCAGGAAACTGAGTACGCCACGCGTCATCTAGGCGAGAGAAGCAGCGCTGCGCAGTGTGCGCCCTCCCGCACGTCTGTCCCTTGCGGCGACCAGTGCGGATGACGTACGTGCAGCTAAGGCTACCCCCCCCACCCCCGTGCTGTAAGTACCACTCACGAAGCTCCTGGGAGGACTGAGGGTGCTGCGCGCTCTGGCCAGTGCCAGAGCCTCCACGACCACCACCGCCGCCTCCACCACGACCACCACCGCCCCTGCCGCCTCCACGTCCACTGCCGCCACCACCACCGCCCCCACCCCGGCCACCGCCGCCGCCGCTGCCTCCACCACTCCCACCGCTGCCACTAGCCCCTCGAGCCCCGCCACCACCCCCACCGCCGCCACCACCCCCACCACCGCCTCCCCCGCCGTCACCCCCACCGCCCTTGCCTCCCCTGCCCTTGCCGCTGCGACGCCCGCTGGGAGCGGACGCAGAGCCGACCTGCTCAGCACCAAGGAGGTCGACAGCAGCAGCAGAGGCGACAGAGGGGAGCAGGGGGGAGGGGGAACACCCCTCGAAGAAAGGGGTGCGGGGGTCGCCACGAGAGGTACCTACAGCTACAATACTCTTCTCAGCTGCAAGTAGTTCCTTCTCTAGGGCGGTAATGGTGAGCTCAGTGGGGCAGCGAGCTAGGAAGTGGTCCCTGACTGTACGCAGAGTGTCAGGGAGGCGGGTGACTAGGTGGTAGAGAGTGAGCCAGAGCGGGGGAGGGTTGGAGGCAAGAAACTCAGCGGGCATGGCGGCACGGAAGCGGGCATCACTAGTGCGGAGGTGAGTGATGAGGTCAGCGACTGTCTGGAAGGCGGACAGGTCGGGGAACAGGTAGGGAAGCGAGAGGCGGCCTAGTGCAGCTGAGGCCGGGGAGGAGTAGCGCGCAACTACAGCAGTGTACAGGGCCTGCGCAGTCTGATGCTGGCCAAAGTGCTCGCGCTCGTCGACTGGCAGGGAGTTGCGAATAGCAAAGCGGGCGTGGGCATCGCGAGTCTGCCACTGTGAGCGAGCAGTAGCAGCAGCAGTAGTAGCAGGAGGAGGGACTGTGCCTAGTGCGTGATCGTACAGCGAGATATCCTCTCTGGCAGTGAGCTGGAGGAACAGGTGCAGATCATCGAGCCAGGTCTCAAACTTAATCGGGCGGCCCTCAGCATCGAACGAGAGAACTGGAGGGCTAGCCATAGCTGAAGTAGCAGTAGCAGAAGTAGCACTAGCAGTAGCAGTAGCAGCAGCAGCAGCGGTAGTAGTAGCAGTAGCAGTAGCAGTAGTGGTGCTGCTGCTCAGGTAAGGAGGGCGCGGCCCGGCTAGGACGGCGCGGCTCGGCTAGGGCGGCGCGGCTCGGCTAGGGCGGCGCGGCTCGGCTGGGGCGGCGCGGCTCGGCTGGGTCGCGCGGTTCGGCTCGGGTCGCGCGGTGCAGCTGGGGTCGCGCTGTGCGGCTCGGCCGTAGAGGGGCGAGCGCGGGAGGGGCCGTTCGGGGGCCGGTCGGGGCTAGCGCGGGGCCATTTGGGGGCCGTAGGAGGCTAGCGCGGGGCCTTAAGGGGCCGTGGGAGGCTAGCGCGGGGCCTGAAGGGGCCGTGGGAGGCTAGCGCGGGGCCTTACGGGGCCGTGGGAGGTTAGCGCGGGGGCCGCACGGGGCCGTTTGAGGCTAGCGCGGGGCCAATCGGGGCCGTAGGAGGCTAGCGCGGGGCCGTAGGTGGGCCGTGGGAGGCTAACGCGGGGCTACACGGGGCCGTTCGGGGCTAGCGCGGGGCCATAGGGGGCCGTGAGAGGCTAGCGCGGGGCCGACGCGGGGCCTTAAGGGGCTAGCGCGGGGTCTTAAGACGGGGCCGTGAGAGGCCGTAAGGGGCGACGCGAGGGGCCGTGAGGGGCCTGAAGGGGCGACGCTAGGAACGAGGCGCACGAGGGCGCGAGGAAAAGGCGGCGCACGAGGGCGCGGCTAGCGGAAACGGTGGGCCCTAACGTTCCGGTCCTAGGTGGAACCTAGGCTCGTAATACCATGTCAGAATGAGAAACAAGAATGTGTGTGACTAGCAAGAACAACAGTACAAATATGAAACCCTAAACTGGTGTACCCCCTATGGTGTGACCCACTACAGCCTAGAACCACACAAACATATAATGTTTGACATCATTGGGAAAAAAGGGCTTGTTAAGTAGCGGGTCAGTGCGCTCATAACCCCTCAGGACAACGAAACTGTAACCCTTCCCTAGGATCAATCGGGGATCACCCGTGGACCTCTGACAACTGTGCTTTGCTGTTCTTAGCTCTAGGAATGATAAAGACGACCTGAGCGACCAGATCGAGGCGCCCATGCTAGTATCCTAGCATATTATGATGCATCTCTGAAATGTAGGTCATCATATGATATTTGTAAAGCTATCTTGCTACTATCTTTCTGAATTTCTCCTAAGAGTGCTTCCTACTACTACTACTCTACCAAAACAACTTAGTGGCTGTTTTACAATTAGACCGGTCTTGATTGCTTCCTCGAGACGATGATCACACTTGATGAAGCATCGCATGATTGGGAAACCGTTCTGTGACATCATATGTCGTTGCTACGATAGCACCAGCTTACTCGGCAATCAGAGAGTCTCGTTTGGACTTTAGTAGTCCAAAACTGCACTACTGCCTTTAAACTAGCGGCTGGCTTCAACGGATGATTAACACGCCCGGAAAATCATGCAGCATCTACCATGGCTTTCATGATCCATTTCAAAATCCCAGCTTGTTTGGCGAACCACGAATATTTTTTCTGTACGAATGAGAAAGGCGAGACCGCAGGATGCATCACGGATGAAAACGATTGCTTCAGTAACAATCACTCGCTGACTGAATCAGATGTGTCTGTCTCTCTCACTGTTGCTCCTGATGAGCTTCTGTTATCCATCTTTAACAGAATGTTTCAGTTCCATCTGCCAAACTGCTGCATGCCATGCGAGACACGTCACCAGAGAGGTCATGATGGGTTGAAAGCGGCGGCGCAAGACTTTGCCAATCAAAGCAGCAAGTTCATTTTATGGCTCTCGGACAGCAGGTGTGCCTTTCTCCTGATTTGACTGTCGAGCAAGCCAAGCTTAGTGCGGGTACAACCATCAGCATCGCGTCCTTGAAAGTTGAGCAGTTTTAGGGAGCTCCTACTACTGAATCCTGGTGTGCTACTGGTGTGCCTCGTTCTTCGGTCTCTCTTCCTTGTTCGAATCCTGTTGCTACGCCTGCTATTTTTATTACCGGACTGAACCCAATCAAGCCTGGCAGCAAGGAAGGCGAGGGTCACAAGCAGAAGAGAGGAGACTCTACAATGACTGGCAGAGCAGAGCTGAAGTGCCGTAATTCTAATGCTGGCAATAGTAGAATGACGTGATAAGGACGAGGTGGAAGTTGAGCAGTTCGAGGTCGGTCGCCTCAAGAGCAGTTTGCGTGGAAGGTGGAAAGGGCACCTCGCCTCTGTGCAAAAGCGATGTTGCTTGAGTGGATGACCGAGCCTCTGTGGGTGTGCTCATGGACCTGGGGAGGATTCGATCCCGCTTGCCTGTTATTTTTTGTTCTACAACAGCTGCTCCTACTGCTGCTTCCTCTTCTTCTACTCCTTTCGCTCCTGCTACTGCTACTTCTCCTGCTGCTCTTGCCAATGCTGCTTCTTCTGCAGCATGGTCATGCTGCTGGCGCTGCAGCCATAGCTGCTGGTCTGCCTATATTCCTCGTGCTGTCAGCTTCTCCACATTCCTCGTGCTTCTGGCGAGACCCCCCCGCCTTATGACTCTATGGAAAGCTTACCTGATCTCGTTTGAGTCAGTCTGGCCAGTGATTGTGGCTAAGCTGGGGGCGGGCATGCAGGAGGAGAAAGACTGCTTTGCGTCCATGCTGGTGCAGGTGTTGGGGGTGAAGGAGAGTGGTGATTTGAAGGAAGGGTTTGGGTTCTCTGTGGAGCATCTTCTCTTCAGGGGGCTGGAGAAGGAGCATGCAGAGGGGAGGAGGGGAGCTGGAGGGAAGGCTGCAGAGAAAGCGCAAGGGAAGGGGAAGGGGAGAGGGTTGGCTGAGGAGAAGGGTGTTGAGAAAACACAAGGGAAGGGGAAGGGGAGAAGGCGGGCTGGGGAGAAGGGTGTTGAAGAGATGCATGGGAAGGGCAAGGGCATATGGGAGGCGTCACGTGGGAAGGACGATGGGAGACACGGAGAGGACGAGACAGAGGGCAAGGTAGGGGTCAGTGGGGTCGCTGAGAAGTGTGGGAGGGTAAGGAAGGGCTTGACTTGGAGGGATAGATTGAAGGGACCTGTGTGGGAGAGGTATGTGGATGGTATGGCTTGGATTTTGGAGCATGGAGTGGGGGAAGGGAGGGAGTTCCGTTGCAGTCACTACAGTGAGGGCGGCAGCAGCAGCAGCAGCAACAGCAACAGCTATGACGGCGGTGCCAGCAGCAGCAGCAGCAGCAGCGCCAGCAGTTATGGCAGCAGTAATGGCAGCAGCAATGGCAGTAGCAATGCTCCGAAGGGTATGCATGTGAGTGGTGTAAATGCAACCGATTTCGCCCTTGCTTTCACCACACTATTATCTAAGCCAGAGCATTGGGAGGATGCGGAGCTGTTTTTGCATGATGGCAACAATGCGAGCAAGATGCAGGTAGAGAGTGCCGCTATTCTGGTGGCCAGGAGGAGGCTACGGCAGCACGGCTTCAAGCAGAGAAGTGGGATGAGTGGAGGGGCCAGAGCAGGTGTAGGGCGATCTGCGCCTGCTCCTGCTGCTGCAAGGATTGATATGAATGCTAAACCCATGCTTGCCAATAGGTTCGTGCCTGTCAATACGAATTCTGTGGTTGCTGCACTCATGTACCGGGTCGGTTGCATCTTGCAGTGGGTCCGAGTCTACGGCCCAGATTCCATCTCAGGGTAACAGTGGTTCAAGGACGACCCTCACTTCAACGACCGCCCCATGCGCTACCCGCTTCGGGACCTTCCGAGCCTTCTGGTCAGGTTCGGCGCCATTCCCAAGCCTTTGGATGAAAGCAGCGCTGCTTTGAAGTGGGAAGAGTGGCCTCAGGGAGACGAATTTGCTGTAAATTTTCCTGTGAACCGCAAGGAGAGGAGTTTTGGGCTTGGGATTGTGGAGGAGTGTGGAGAGGCGGCTGAGAAGCTGACTCAGGACCCTCCTCATGACACGTCTGAAGCAGTAAGGGGCGGCATGCATGCAAAAGAAGAAGGATTCAATGCAGCAGGCAAAGAAAGTGGTGAGGAAGTCAGCGCATGGTGCGTGAGGTACTTGAAGCAGAAGGGAACATCAGGAGTGCAAGGAGGAAAGTTGCCAAGGCAGTTGAGCAAGGAGGGTGGGTAGAAGGCATGCAGAGCAGAGCGCGTGAGAGAGCTGATGCACGTCAAACCGTTGAGCAGAGAGCAACGATGCTACCGCCGCCCAGAAGGAAGCTTCCTATCGTTCGCTGCCGGGCAGATGTGGACTTCCTGTTGGGGTTTCGCGGGGTATATCGTGGACCCTCCCATGTGCACCCAGTGCAGCATGTGCTTCGCAGAATTCATGCATTCTGTGTGCATCGCTGCTCTTATCACCAACTTTGCCTACCGCTTCGTCAGCCATCTGTTCTCCCGCGTGCTCTCGGTCTTCCCGCCATCCTCCCGTGGCTTTGACGATGTCATTGAGTGCTTGGACTTCCCACCGCACCTGCCCAGGCTGCTAAACCTGCATATGCTGCTGAGGCGAGCCGAGCAGGTGCCTCTGTACTTTCTCATTCGCATGACAGTGTGGTTCGCATATTTTCTTTTGGGGATGGGTGATGAGTTTGAGGAGGAATACAGTGTTAGAGGGCGGGCGGGGCGGTCCAAGGTGCAAGGCCGCTGGGATGATGAGGCAGATCGGGAGAGAGCGAGGAGTGTAGAGGCGGCAAGAATGGAGAGAGAATGGCAGAGGAGTGGGACATTACATGGGTTTTTGAGGCAGCAATCGCACCGAGGTACTGTGAGGGGTTGCAGGGGCAGCGTGGATCTGCCAAGGGGAGCAGCAGCACTGCCAGCAGCAGCACTACTGCCAGCAGCACTGCCAGCAGCAGCAGCAGCAGCAGCAGCAGCAATGGTGCTTCGAGGGTTGGCAGCAGCAGGTCTAACAAGCGGATTGGGAAGCAGGGGGAGGAGCCGGCTTATCTCAAGGCATGGCCGGGGGGAGTCAATGTGGTGGCATGTTTGCGAGAGATGCTGCTGGGGGAGCCCTACTACCGCCCTGCCTCCCCTCCCATCCCTGCTGGTTCTTCTGCCCCTGCTGCTGTGAGCACCCATGCTGCTGCTGCTGCTGCTTCTCCTTCAGATGTGTAAAGCCGTGTGTGTGGTCCTGCATTGCGGTGATAAGAAGTTGAGGAGGTGCGGTGGGTGTGGCAAGGCAGCGTGTTGCAGCGAAGAGTGCCAAAAGGCGCACTGGCCCTCCCACACACTCACATGCCCCGGCAAGAAGAGGAGTGGGGGAGATGGGAGCAAGGATTGCGGCAGGGAGACATGTGAGGAGAGTTGTTTTTATAGAAGTGCCGCAAAGTTGGTGCAGGGAGGTGGGGGGATGGTGGATGGATCATTGGGGTGGTCAGGTGCACAGACAGGCGCATCAACGGTCCCAGGCACAGCTTCAAGCGAATCGGCAAGGAGAGATGCAAGGAGGGTAGCCACTTGCCTGGTCGTTGGAAAGAGCGTGAAGTTGAGTGGAGGTCTGGGGGGTGCCCTGTCTCTCTGGGTGGTGGGAACTGACGATTATAGAGGGCAGTTGTGGTAACAGATTGTGAGTAGAGGGGCTGAGGCAGATGCTTTATAAGAGAAGCAGGAATTTTGATTATTGAGGTAATTACAGTAAAAAGACAGCTGCGGTTAATGGTGAGAAAGTGGCGCTCTAAGTGAAAGCATTTGCTGGAAAGGGTATGGTAGAATGAGGAGAAATGAGGAGTTTCCTGTCAAGTAGAGCGATTCATTATTGCAACAGCATGAAGGGCCATTCAAGCTGTGCATGTTTACACAAGACGTTGCGCGGCACTTTTCCCGCTTGAACACGCATGGAACCACACTACTGTGAAACAATAAGTTCAGTGATCGTGACTTCTGGTCTTCCCCTTCAGCTTTTGCATCCCTCTTCGCCTTGGGTTGACACAACTGATGCTGGCAAGTTTTCCAGGCACACACAGGTGCGAGTGGCAGCTAGCAGGCTGCCAAACTGCCATCACATCACCCACAGGTGATGGGTGTAGTACCGTCATCGCCCGGATATAAGACATATATGTCTTATCTCGTACACGGGCAAAAATGCTTGAGTTATCTTGTAAACGGGATGGTTTAGGGTGTCTTATAAGTCTTATAAATGGAAAAAATTTTAAGTTGACTGTAACACTTGCAAAGTGTGTAGAAACCACCCAAAGACCAATTTCATTTAAACAGGCCGACCTCGGTGGTGATGCATGCAGCGCCCACACTTTCCATGTGAGGGAGCTGCCACCGCTGGCAACATTCCTCTGTGCTGGCAGCGTCGTTTTGCTGCCAGGAGCGCATGGATGCTTCCAGAACGCTGCTGGCAGCACGTTGGCAGCGTGAGGGCTGTCCTCTACGAGGAGATGCCTCGTAGAGGAGCGGCTCGGCACCTGTGGATGGGGCACTCTGGCTGGGGGGGGTAGTCGGGCTCTCACTTCATTTCGTGCTCAAGGAGGTTGAATACTCCGTCTCAACCTTGCTCTCGGCAGGCTCTCTAACCATGCGCAGCAAAGTACCAGTAGGCAAGTCCTCACCTCGTCCTCACGTGCAGGTTAATAACTACGGGCGAATTAACTCGCCCGGCGATGACATCCGTGTAGCCATGGCGAAGAACGCGAGCAAGGCGGCAAGTCCTACCGCCGCCTCTGGTGCGAGCTGTGACGAGGACGACGGAGACGAAGCGAACAGCGACGAGGAGGATTGGCCGGAGAACGGCCACGACGACAGCACTTCAGGCGACGATGTAGGTCGTGCTGACATCGAGGAGGACGACTGGTGGAATCGGCCGGTCGGGAGCGACGACGAGGTGGAAGAGTGGCATGTTGGTGATTCCGACAACGACGGAGGTAGAGATGCGCATGGTGACAACGCGGAGGCAGCGGCGGATGCACAGGAAGCGGCGGTGGATGCGAATGAGGAGGCTGACGACGGGGCAGGGGCGGAACTTGAGACATTTGCGCCTGCTGATGCGGCCGCAGTTGCGGATGCGGAAGGCGAGGAAGGCGGCGACGACGACTCATGGAGCCTTGGGACCGACGACAACGTCCCGCTACTCAAGCGGAGGCTGCGCCATCGCCTACAGTCCAAGTCAAAGCGGGCCCGCGTGGTGCTCTCTGACGACGACGGTCCGGGGGAGGAGCGTCGCCCAATACTCACCGCTGCGGAGAAGGGGAAAGCCAAGATCGCGGAAGCCCCTACTAAGGCCCCTGCTAAAGCCCCTGCTCGTCGCCGCACAAGCAACAAGAAGCTGACATCCGACGGAGACCCGGGATCCAGCAAGGGTGCGGCTAAGAAGAAGGCGAAGAAGGCGCTGAATCCTGAAGACATCGTCGTGAACGAGCCGCTGGGCAGCGACGATGAGTACGCGGCGGCGGCGGGCCCGATTCCCACGTTCCCTGAGAAGGTAACGCCGAGGGACCCCACCCTCCATAATCCCAACACCCGCCCACCTTCCCCTCGCAGCAAAGACACTACGAAGAAGCGCCGCAGTTGGACCGTGCGTGAGAAGCTTAAGTGGGCGCGCCGCTATCAGGAGCTCGGCTCCTTGAAGAAGACGAGCGTGGAGTCAACCGCGTCCATCGCCTGCATCAAACGCTGGTGTGCGGAGGTGGAAGCGGGCGTCTACAAGGGCGCGACCAACTGCCGCAAACGGATGCACGGGGGGGGGGGGGGGGGGGGCGCCACTCACACTACCCCGACATGGAGGCAGCGTTGTACTGCTACATCTGCCTTCAGCGCGCTAACGGGGTGGCCATCTCGATGAAGGACACCCAGAAGTGGAGCCGCAAGTGGATGAAGAAGCATTACCCCGACAAGAACTGGAACGCGAGCTCTCACTGGAGCCAGCGTTTCCGTGACCGCTGGAACCTGGTGATGCGGGTGAAGACCAAGGTCGGCCAACGTCTGTCGGTAGGTGCGTGTTGAAGGATTTCGTCTGGCGCTCTATTGAATGCATGTACCTCACCCAGTGTCTAACCATCCCGTGCTTCCGTTGCGCTTGTCCCGTTTGCAGAGTGCGCGAAGGACTGCGAGTCCTTCTGGAAGTTTGTGCACATCAACAGGGCGCGGCACAAAATCGACCTGGCCCGCATCATCAACGCGGACCAGAATCCACTATTCGTGGAGATGCCAGCCGAACGGACGATCGAGCACCGTGGCGTGCGCTCGGTCCCAATCCGCACTGCAGGCTACCAGAAGACGTGCTTGACAGTGATGCTCGCGTGCACTGCATCCGGGGAGAAGCTGCGGCCGTGGGTGTGGTTCAAGATGAAGAACGTCCCCAACTGTGAGATTTCGGAAGGTAAGCGAGCGTGAATTCAACCGTGCGACTGCCTGAAGAGCGTGCCCCAGTGTGCTGATGCCCGTCTGTCCCTTGTGTGCCTGGCAGGAATCGTGGTCCAAGCACAGGACAACGGGTGGATGGACGAGAGCGCTGTGCAGACTTGGCTGTCCAAGGAGGTGCTGCCCCATCTGAACCCCCAGCGCGGCCAGAACGCAAGGCGGGTGATGCTGGTGTTGGACTCCTACCGCGGTCACATCACCCAGACCATGCTTCAGTCGTACCGCACGCACAGCATCACCCCTGCAGTCATCCCAGCGGGTTGTACGAGCCAGATTCAACCCCTGGACGTCTCCATCAACCGGTGCTTCAAGGCTGCTGTGCGAGCGCGCTACGCCAGGTGGTTCATGCGTGAAGGGATTCACCTGAAGACGAAGAAGGGTGAGTTGGTCCTTCATTTACGGTTTTATTCATGTTCTGTTTCGTGTCCTTGTCTTAAACATGCTCCTTCATCCATGTCTCTTACATCTCGCTGCCCCGTCCTCTGTCCCACCCGCAGGGAACCTGCGGAGGCCTCCACACCCCGTGGTGCTGCAGTGGATCGCGGAGGCTTGGGATCAAGTCCCCAAGCAGATCATCATCGACGCGTTCCGCCACTGTGGGATCTCGAGCAAGCTGGACGGAATAGAGAACCACCTGGTGATGTCTCACCTGCGCGCCAGGAGCACCACCGATGTCTCCGCGGACATGTCTCTCGAGGGGACCACAGGCGACAACACGCGCCTGCTCGGTCGGGCTCCAGAGGAGGAGGAGGAGGCGATGCAGGCGGAGGGCGTGCGGGAGGTGGCCGTGGCAACCGGCCTGGAGGTGCTGTACCAGGAGACCCCCAACTACCGCGGAGCGGCGGCCGAGGCTGACCGCATGATCGAGCCTAGGGAGACGGCTAGGCATGCCTGGCGAGTGCCAGACCTGGGTGTAGAGCCTGATGTTAGTGCAGGTGAGGAGGCGGTGACTGAGGGGGTTAGGTAGAAGTAGAGATTCATGACTGTATGCATGTACCCCCTTAAAGAAGGAAAGCTAGCTAAGGGCATGTTCCTATGCTCGTATCAGGCAAACCTCTTGTCAGCCTTGCCTGGTAAAAGTAGCGAGGGTTTTTGGGTTTAGGAAATTTTCAGTGGTAAAAGCAGCGAGCTTCATAAGAGGTTGGCCTGATAAGGGGCCGTAGGAACATGCCCTAAGAAGACACCCCCTGTTTATAAGAGAATCCCTAAACCCTGGTTCTGATTATAAGACATATGTCTTAACTCATACACACAAATACAGGTGTCGTATAAAAAGGCTAGCTTGTTCATAAGAGACACCCGTATAATAGACAACCCCTGTCTACTATTCAACACTGTCTTATATCCGGGCGATGACGGTAAGTAAGCCCTTCCCTCTTCCTAGTCCACCCTCTTTGCCTCTGCACCAATGGTGGCAAGGCTAGCCACGGACCAACTGCATTGCGATGTTCCAGTTACTGAAACATTTCTTACAATACAAATGAGCGGTTTTCCCTCTGCTTGTAGGTGAAATATTGGCCAACATACAGTACCCAGGTAGCACAAGTATTACGGACGCTCCCTCCTGCATTCAGCCTAGGAAGAACCTGCGCCAGGATTGCCAAGGCAGGAAACCGCCTGCACAGCACAACAGAACCAAGGGAGGAACATGGTTACTGACTGCACGTAGCTGCATGCCCGGCAATACCCAGTAACATCCATGGCATGCAGTTGAGGGAGCCCTGTGTGCCCACCACAGCAGGCAGAGCCGCAAAAGGAGCTCCCCCTCAGGTTGTGCAGGTGAGTAGGTGGTGATGGCGAAGCATGTGAGGGGTTGCATCATCGATTTACTCCATGTGCAACAGCCTTTCGCACATTCGCGCAAGCAACCGACCTTACACACATGCTTGCCACAGCCTTTACACACATGCATGCCACAGCCTTTACAAACATGCGTGCCACAGCCTTTACACACATGCATGCCACAGCCTTTACACACATGCATGCCACAGCCTTTACACACATGCATGCCACAGCCTTTACACACATGCATGCCACAGCCTTTACACACATGCATGCCACAGCCTTTACACACATGCATGCCACAGCCTTTACACACATGCATGCCACAGCCTTTACACACATGCATGCCACAGCCTTTACACACATGCATGCCACAGCCTTTACACACATGCATGCCACAGCCTTTACACACATGCATGCCACAGCCTTTACACACATGCATGCCACAGCCTTTACACACATGCATGCCACAGCCTTTACACACATGCATGCCACAGCCTTTACACACATACATGCCACACCCACCCACACGTGCCACGCCCCTTCACACTCCCCTTCACACTGACCGCAGGCGGAGCAGCGGCGGTAGAAGCGCCCCACGAGCTGCAGCCCCGACCCCCGACACGCCTCACAGCGCTGCTGCGCTGCCTGGGCGGAGAGGCGAGCCGGGGGGGAATTGGACGAGGTCAGAGAGGAAGGGGGTGGAGTGAGGGAGGGAGGTAGATGAGAATAAATGAGTCACACATTTGGCATGGTTCACATCGGCACTAAAAGGCTGCAATGAGGAGGCGCAGGCAGAGAGGGGAGCATAAAGAGGCGAGGAGCAGAGCAAGGGCATGGAGAGGGCTTCATCACCCTAGGTGCGCAATGCACGAATTGCAATAGATGACGCGCAACAGCCATCCAGGTCAGCGGTGAGGGATGGAGGATTGATAAGAGAGAGTACGAAGTGACTCGTCGCTCATTATCATCATTTTGACAAGCAGGTGATGAGACAGGGTGACACACAGGGCGACACACAGGGAGACACACAGGGCGACACACAGGGCGACACACAGGGCGACACAGGGGGGGAGGTGACTCACAATGCGCTTGCCGAACTCAATGGACGCCACGATGAACGGGATCACGCCAGCTGGCACGTGGTGATTGGTGCAGGGACGACAGAGGGGAAGGCACGGACAGGGATGGTACAGTGGGTGGGGGATGACAATGAGGAGGATGGGGTGGATAGGGGGGAAGAGGGGGAAGAGGGGGAAGAGGTTGAAGAGGGGGAAGACGGGGATCAGCTTAGAGGCGCTTTGACGAGCACATGGAGGTGAGGTGAGGTGAGCCGAGAAGAAGGTGCACTCGCGTTCTCCGTCTGCTCTCCGTCTGCTCTCTGCCAGTCTCTGTCTGCTCCTTCAATGCTTTAAACTCTCTCACAACTCACCGATTGCACCAACCACGATTTGCCACGTCACCTCCGACCGTCCTCCGCCTCCAGACACCCCCAGGTCACCCGACGCAGCAGCAGCAGCAGCGGTAGCGGTGGGGGACGAGTCTGCTAGGCTAGCAGCTGCGTCGGCAACATGAGCGGCGGAGGCGATTTGTTCTGCAAGGGCGGCGGCAGCGTCTGGCGGAATGGCAGCGCACCGCGCGCGATGCCGGGAGGGCTGCGCATGCAAACGCAAATGCGTTTGCAAGGAACGGATATCTCTCGTCGTGCTTCCGACGCTCGCCGCCTCGAAGCACCGGGACTGCGCCGCGTCTGCGCGGTGATAGTTCTCGCGGTTAGGCTGTGCGCGCATCGCCGCCATGGCGGAGAGTTGCGCGCAGCAAGGCGGAACGGAAAGGCGTTGCGGCGGACGTGAAGCGCATCGAAGAGCCTGAGAAGCCGAGGCCGCCGCGTGTGTGGTTAGTGAAGGAAGAGAAAGCACGTGGCGGGAACGCGCTGGGGCGCACTCAGGCGGCGTGCTGGTTTTCGATGCTGCGACGCGTGCATGGCCGTCTAGCGACCCGATTAACGAGCACGGAATAGACCGAGCCATGATTGTCACTCCTGTGGAAGGGCGACCGCAAGTCTAGTCGTGCAGCAAGGAACTCGCGAGATGTGGGATGACGGGCAAGTCACGAACGAAGAGAAAATTACGCAGAATACGCACAGCTGACTGTATGTGCGGCGTTGAATTCGGACGAATTACAAGCGCGTCGGAGCGGCCTGGCATTTACATCGTGGAAGTCTCTAAGCCATGATGCCGAGCGGGAATCTGCGATGTATGAGTGGACACGTCGCATCCTAGCGAGCATCGACAAGTTGAGGGCGTGTTTGGGACGTATACGAGATACTGTAAGTGCCAGGAAATGATCGGTGAACTTTTCAAGCCACTTCAACAGGTCGGGCAAAATACACCTTTCTCTTTTGCAACTCTTGCAGCTCATGACTGAGCAGTCCTTGAAAGTGGAACACACCTGCACATAGTTATCTGTGGGGTCAACCTTTGATAAGTTGGTACACGAACCTTGGAGAAATTAGGTGTCAATTCCAATACCATCTCTAACTCACCGCCCTTCCCCACCGTGATTTATCTGCATATTAATACAATTGATAGGCTAATTATAAATCCCATATTGTAAAATAGACTGGAAACAAGCAATAGGTGATGTTTACCTAGACCTCATCTATATCGACTTACATATCAACATCTTCATGATGTGAATATGTGTCTGAGGTGGCTGTGTCAAGTTGCCATTAACGCGTACAAGTCCCTCAACGCAACCCACGTTTCCATGGGCTTGGCACCCAAGGTTGAGTGGACTCTCCTCCTTCCATCCATCCATCCATCCATCCACCATACCTATCTTCATGGATGCCCGCACTCACCTTGTTTCATTCTGTTCTCGTTAATGGAGACCGCTCCTAGAGCTCATCCCCCGTCCGCGCCAAGACCCGACCGCGGCGCAGATCGTCCATTATCACGGCCATTCCCCACGTCCAAATCCGAAAAGGCGAGACCACAGAGCCAATCAGGTTCCGACACGTCAAACAGCACAACACCGCGGGCCCAATCACAAACACGGGTGCAACCCTCGCACCCATCCGTACCGCCCCGAAGTCCTCATGCTGCAGGCAATCCCGCCTTGCGAGGCTCTGCAAGCCACGAAAATCTGAGACTAGGTTCGGATTCCGAACCTGAATCGAACCACGGTGACGAGCCAGGCGGGTTTGCGTTCCCAGGGCTGTCAGGTTCGGCCGGCGGAAAGGTCGCCTCTGCGGTTTCCAGAGCCTCCGCCGCGCGGCATGCATTTCCGCGGAGTGTTTCCGCCTCGAGCGGTATTCCCGCAGAGACCTCCGCGCGCGGCGCAACTTCCCGCGGGCGCAATCCGCCCGCCCGATCATCTGACGTGGACAGTAGATCCGACGGCGTCGATTCACTCAGCTTAGACGACGTTAGGTCCGATGGCGGCGGCGCGTCGTGGCCAGAATCCACGGATCCCACCAATAACGGCGGATCTCCTCGTTCCCGCACTCTCCCCCATTCCCCGCTTTCCGCGCGCTCCGATTCCGCCAGCCCAAGTCGGATGCCGACAGGGCGCGGTAGACCGGGGGGAATGAGCCCTTCCGGCAGGGGCACAGCCGCGGGGGGGCGCGGATTTGCGCGTTCCGCCTCGCAGCCCGTGCGGAAACTAGACGCAGTCAGACACCCACCGCCGCACACGCCTCCGAACCTTTCCCCACTTTCCGGCGGTTCCTCCGCGCATGGCGCAGCTGCCCCGCCAGGCCTGCCCCCTGTACGGAGGCCTTCGGAACCAGGGCAAGCGCAAGCGCGCGCCCGTCCGGTGACAGCGGGGAAGGTTCCGCCAGTCCAACCAGGTCCGCCCACGACCTCCGCGGATGGCTCTGAAGGGGGAATCGGGGGAGGAAGGGGAGCAATGGGCGCGCAGGTCAGGATTAGCGCCGCTGCTGCCGCCGCCGCTGCGGCTGCGGGCGGCGGAAGCAGTGCGACAGCCGCCCTTCCCCCCGGCGGCGGTGGCGGCCTGCGCACTGTGGCGGGGGCGGTGGCGTCGCGGGCCCTGCGGAAGAGCGCGAGTGCGCCGCAGGTGCGGCCGGGGGAGGGCGCGTCGACCGCCAGCGCGCGCGCCGTGGCGGAGAGGGCGGCCTTGCGGCTAAAAGGACGCGGGGCGGATGCCGGCGCGGGGTATTCGGGAGGGGGAGTTTCCGGCGCAGGCAGTGGGGGGGTGGAGGCGGCAGGCGCAGCAGGCGCGGGAATCGGGGGAGGCGGAGCGGACAGGCCGAGAACGCGCGTGGGGCGGTTGCAGTCACACGGAGGGCCGGGGGTGGCGGAGCAGGAGGACAGCCCGCGGCAGTGGGTGGCGCACGCAGCGGACGCGCAGGGGACAGGCGCAGGCGCAAGTGGGCTGGGTGCGGGCGGGTTCACAGCGCCGTTGGATCGACCCTCGACGCCCCCCAGGCGCGACATGAGCGGCATCGGCGGCGGCGGTACTGGTGGGGGTGTAGGGGTGGCGGCGGTGGGCGTGGGGGTGGTGGTGGGGCGACCCAGGACGCCCGCGCGCATGGACTTGCACGAAGCTGAGCGGGTTCGCCTCGCTGCCTCCGCGGGTGGGGGAGGGGAAGGCGGAGCAGCAGTAGGCGCGGGGGTGCAGGCGCCAGTGACTCCGCGCGTGGTGGAGCGCCCCTCCACGCCCCTCGTGGGGCAGCGCCCTGCCTCGCCGCTGCTGCGCGCGGAGGGCGCGCTCGAGCGCCCCAAGACGCCCACGCGGAGGCAGGAGGCGGAAGACGGGGCGCTCCACGCGGGGGGGGCGGCAGCGTGGCCGGAAGGGGCGGCTGAGGGGCAGGGGAGGGGCGGCACTCCGCGGCTGCGCGCGGAGGCGGGCGGGGAGCGTCCTACGACGCCCATCAGGCGGGGTGAAGCGGCAGTGGGGGCGCGTGGGGAGGGGCGGGTGGGGCGCGCGGTGGAGAGGCCAACGACTCCCCTGCACGGGGCGGAAGGGGGGCCGCCCTCGGCCTTCACCACACGCGCAACAGAACGGTTAGATGTGGAAGCAGAGCGGTTGAATGCGGAAGGAGAGCGGTTGGATTTAGAGGCAGAGCGGTTGGGGGCAGCAGCACGGGTGGAAGCAGCAGCGCGGCCGCACACAGCAGTGCCGCGGGGGGTGGGCGCAGCAGCACAGGGGCAGGCGGGCAGCCGCGCGGACAGGGCGGACCGGCTGAGCTTCCGCGGGAAGGTGCGACCCAAGTCGTTCGTGGAGCGCAGGGGGAGTGGTGATGGCGGGGGAGGGGGAGGGGGAGTAGGGGGAGCAGCAGGGGCAGCAGGGGCGTGGGGTGGTGTGGGGGCGGTGCCGCGGCCCACCACGCCTGTGAGGCGAGGCGATGGGAGCATGGAGCGAGCAGTGACACCAGGGGGAAGGGTGGGGGAGCGCGGGGGAGGCGGGGGAATGGGGGGAGGAGGAGGGGCGTTCACTGATGAGTCGGTAGCGTTTGAACGGCCATTGACGCCCGTTGGTAGGATAGCCGGAGTCGATCCAACGGTCATCACGGACCGCCCGTCAACGCCGGTCGGCGGCCGCCCGACCACACCGGTCGGTGCCCGCCCCACGACGCCATCTGGTGGGCGGCCGACGACACCGGGCGGCGGGCGGCTGGATGCGGCAGTGAACCCGCTGGCGCGGGCCAATCGGATGGCGCCGTTTCCCATGCCTCTGTTCCCGCACTCGGCGTCCGTGGGGTGTGCTGGTGTGGGTGAGTTTGACCGGCTGTGTGTGGACCATGGGGAGGAGGAAGACGAGGAGGGCGAGGGGGAGGGGGGGGATGGGGGGTATGGAGACAGGGGACGGCGTGGGGCGGGCGATGGGGAGGCGAGGTGGAAGAGTGTGAGTGGGGCTGGTGCGGAGGGGAGTAGTGGGTCGAAATTCCCTGGTAATGGCAGGGGCGGGGCGGAAGGGGCGGGGGTGCGTGCCGTGCAGCAGAGCAGCAGCAGCGGCGAGGGGCAGGGGAGAGCGCAGGGCAGAGGGCGGGGCGGAGGGCATGGGAGAAGTGGAAGCATGGGACGGGCACTGGGGGAGCAGCAACAGGGGAATAGAGGGGAGGGGAGAGGAGGGGCAGGGAGGCAGGCTGTTGCGAAGTCCCCTTCTGGGGAGGCTGCTAGGGCGGCAGGACGTGCTGACTCAGCACCTGCGGATGCTGACGTGTTCAGGGCGTTTATCCTGGGCCGGCCGTATGCTGACGTGGAGGAGCGGTTTGAGATGGGAGGGGAGGTGCTGGCGCGGGGGGAGTTTGGCGCGGTGCGCGTGTGTGTGGAGCGGGAGAGTGGTGCGAGGCTGGCATGCAAGACCATCGACAAGCAGAGCATTCAGGTGCGATTAAGCGGCAAACTGGCAAGAGAGGGGCAGGTGCGTCGGTGGGAACATGCTTCAAAAGGAGCAGTCTTGAGAGGAGCTGGCGTGTTCACTTCACGCTTCCTCTGCCATCTGGGTGCCTGTACACGCTTCCCCTGTTCCTCCTCTCCACCTGCACAATTGGCCTTTGCCAACACACTCTCTCCCCCCTTCCCTCCGTCCACTCTTTCCCATCGCTCCTCTCTCTCTCCCTCCCTCCACCACTCTGCACGGCATGGCACAGTCAGCACATGAGGCGTGAATTCTGAGGCGGGGGTGATGGGCGGCAATGGAGGTGGTATGGGTACATCCCAGGTTCATTCAGCTGCATGCGTCTGTCATGCTCGTCCTCTCCTCATGCAACTTCGTTGTCTTGCCAATGCTCTCTCTCCACCCTTCCCCACCCCATTCCACC